ATATACTCATTTAATCGGTACTTTAATCGATTTAATTATATGGTATTTTATTCGAGTTAAATTTACTGATTTCATATTTTTTTTAACTTGCATCTTCAGTTTAATCGGTTTATACAAGCGATGATGGTTTATAAAAGTGATGAATTTATACAACTAAATGACTAGTAAATAATTTTGTTTTGGTGATTTTGTTTCTCAAGATATACTGTTACATTTGGGTCTGTTTTCCTACATCATCAATCAACCAAATGTAGAAACATTTGCCATATACAAAATATGAGACCATATAAACAATGTACCAACCAAACTGTTGTGACCCAAAAGCTTATCCTGAGGCTCTGATTTTTCTTTTTTGCTTGAGTTTCTTTGATGACTTTAGAAGCATAACCTGAATCAGAATCCAACTCCAGCCTCTTCAATCGCAGCAGACATTGAAGCCGATGCTTCTTCTAGCGTTCGCCTCTTTTGAACTGCGTTGAAGGCCTCGATGATGTCTCCTTCAATCCAATCGTCGTAGTCATCCATACCGATACCACATTCTAATCCAGCACTCACCTGAACAGTATAAACAGAGAGGGATTTATCTTGACGACATAAGAAAGGCGAAAAGTCCAAAAGTCCGGATTTTGGTTGAGTTGGGAACATATCTCAGCAGGTACGATAGAAGTTGATGGTTTAGGATGGCTCTACTTCGCCTCCCATGTTCTTATTGAGAAACTTAAAAAATGTGGATTAGAAGATTTTTTACCTCTTTCACATTTTCTTTAACTCGCTTTAGAGAATCAAGGACACCGACGTGGACAGTTTTACCCTTCCGGATCACCCTGATGCCACAATCTTTCACAAATTTCCCTTCATTCACCATGCATCCAGCCACACGACCGCTTCCACTGCTGAAAGTAGCCCGAACTTCTGCTGAGCCAATTGGGATTTGTTCCTATAAACAGCCACATGTAATCTTCAATTTTCAAATTCCAAAAGGCTCATAACTAAAACCTAGGTTTTATGATGATCCGTGACATGATACAGAAATTTACTTTTTAGGCAATTCAATTATTCAACCAAAAAGAAAAACCCAGCTCGTATCCCAACCCATGTGGAAAGAGGAGAAACTGAGATCTCATCATGTGTAACTCTAAAGAGGCATGTTGATCAGATTAGACAACGACAAAACCTTCAGAATCGCTTAAGAAATGCTAACCTCAACAGACTCGAGAAGTCCTTCCATTGCGTTTCGCACATCATCAATAAGCTCGTAGATAACTCTATATAGTCGGATTTCAACACCTTTGTTTTCTGCAGCTTTCTTTACAGAACCAGATGCTTTGACATTAAATCCAAAAATGATGGCTTCACTGGCTGATGCTAGATCAACATCACTGTTGCTCACATCCCCTGTCGCTTGTAGCAAGAATTTTAAGGTGACATTTTCCTGAGGGAGGACTTGCAAGGCTTGCCTGACAGCTTCAATGGATCCCTAATAGTCACATTGGTGATTTGCATCAGCATAAATAAGAAGGGACCAAGGAAACCAAAACGTTTAAGTCAATCAGCTGATGAAACCATCTGATCAAACTGGCTCTTTACCTGTACATCGACCTTCAAGATGATATTAAGCTGATGCAAATCTAAGCCTGACATCTTTTTAGCTGATACAGCAGAAGCTAAGGAGGAAAGCGTGACCTTTCCATCCCCAGCCTTTGCAGATATTCTTTCATCTCGTAATGATACTGCACGTGCCTCTGCCATCTCACGGGCCACATCTAGGGAAGAGACAATCTCAAATTCGTCACCAGCAATGGGTACATTATTCAAACCAATCACCTGCAAATGCAATTTGATCCTCAAATTAGATTTCTAAATCAATCCATACATGAGAACAAAGATATTCTGAAGGCAAGAAAAGAACATATGACATGCATAGAGTATTTCCATTAGTGTGTGCGCAACGAATTTTTAACTTAGGGTAGATTATGAAACTACAAACCTGTACAGGTATGGAGGGTCCAGCTTCATCAACTCGTTCCCCACTGTGATCAAATAAAGCTCGTACCTTAACACAGAAACAGAGCAAGACCCAGGTAGGTAAGTTCCTAGCCATTTATATCATCTGCACAATGTGGCTTGAGGAGGAAAACTGAATTTTGAATACCTTTCCGAAAGCTTCTCCGCAAACAACAACATCCCCTCTTTTCAGAGTGCCTTTCTGAACAATGAATGTTGCAAATGGTCCTTTTGCTTTATCAAGTCCAGCCTCAATAACAATGCCCTTGGCATTTCTGTGTGGATTTGCTTTCAACTCTTGCAGCTGAAACAACCAAAATACAGTCAGCCCACAAACAAAAGCTAATGAGAAGTAAGCACAGAAAGAGGGAAAAAAGAATATGCATGGAAGCCTAGATCTAAGCTTTTTATAGTTAATAGCCCTCCTTAAAGCAAGCTTTTGGGCCCAGTTTGAAGCAAGCATGTAAGTCATTTCGTAGGCACTATGTACTAGTACAAGAAGAAAACAAAATTAGGAGGCACAAACTCTAAGAAAACTGATCACATAAATTGGACAATCAGCCAACTTAAGCTTCATTATGCATCTAGCATAAACAGAGAACAAAAAATAATCAACCAAACCTGTTATCAAGGGATGAATAACAAACTAACCTCTGCAACAAGCATGACAGTTTCCAACAGATCATCGATATTCTCCCCTTTCAAAGCACTGATCTGTCAAAGGCAAATACAGAGCATGATATGAGACCCCATGGAACATATGGAGCCTGAAACATACATGTGACGAGAGTATCTATTCCAACCTGAACCATAGGAACATCACCACCCCATTCTT